ATTCCATTCGAAATACGTATCGCCCACTACGCGATACTCTTTCGTTCATCAATTGAACAACCATGATGTGCATGAGACCTGTTTTCAACAAGACGGCTACATGTTACACAGCTCGTGCGACAATTGATTCATTGAAGGAAACGTTTGGTAACCGCATAGTTTCACGTTTTGGACCCGTGAATTGGTCTCTAAGATCGTGGGATTTAACGCCGCCGGACTATTTTCTGTGGGGATATGTGAAGTTCTTAGTCTACGCCGATGAGCCAGCCGTGGCGGTCATATGCCAGAAGTCATATTTAAATTATAATGCCAGAAGATTGTCTTTCGAATAAAGTAAATTTCATGTCAATTTGAAAAGTCATCTTTGTTGTTTTCTATTTTAAAATTCTATATCTCTAAAAAAACACCCTTTACTAGCAGTACCGCATGTCAAACATGCTTTGAAACAACTCCATAACAGTAAACATGTGGAAATGAACGGTGAAGGATAAGTCTATTAGACGTTTCAAGAAAAATTTTCTTTTGTGATAGCGTGACTATATTGTATAGGTCAAAGTGGATATTTGGAGTGATTCAATAGCATTTTTTCTGAGTGTGTGATTGACGACTTGTTTATTTTGTGGCAATTCATGATCAATTTAATGAAATGAATAAAAACTTTTGTCTAATTACCCCTAGTTAATTTTATTTATATGACCGGTTTCGGGTTTAATCCCATCATCAAGTATAATACTGAAATGTGAAGTTTGAAAACTCGGTTATATGGGGAGTTTTCAGGTAAGATGTAAGGACAAGTAGTTGAAACAGGTAGTTGAACGAACCAGGGCGCCAACTTCAAAATTCCACACAGAAGATTATAGGGGTTGTTAAACTTATTAATTCAAGAGTAGAGACCTACATAAATCGCGTTACTAGTTTAGAGTTGTATATTTCTGGTTTTTAATTGATTCGTTAATTTCCCTTTATTAAATATGTGTGGGATTTTGAGGTTATCTTTATTTATCTTGTGTATTGATCCATGAAGATGTTCGTACATTATAGATTTTTTGTCCAAACAGACGTGTTCACGCAGTCTTATGTCAAAATTTCTACCGGTTTGGCCTGTATATACTGTAGGGCATTCGCCAAACCGGTAGAAATTTTGACGCAAGGCTGCGTGAACACGTCTGTTTGGACAAAAAAATCTACAGGTCAAATTCAAATTCAAATTCAATTTTTTTTTGGTTCATAGAACGTACTGTAAGAGGTAGGGTATTGTACATTTCAATATCAATAGTATCGTCCATTCTTTGTAACCGGGTTTGCGGTATAATCAAATTATCTTTATTTCTAGTATTGTGACCGTGTATATCGGACACAACAGAGTAACTATTAATGTTTTGTTTGACATATAGTAACTTTACAAAAATTATCAGAGAGTAAAGTGTCATTATTCTCAACGTTTTAAAGATTGATTTGCAGTAGTCTTCAAAATTAGCTCCTGTAATAGATCTCACAGCCCTCTTCTGAAAGACGAATATATAATAGGGGAGCCCAACCGGGGATTTCGGGATTTACTAAAGCGCGGCAGAATAATATACAGGGGGATACCTTATACCCGGTTAAGTACCTCCACCAAATATGAGCCCCATATATAAGGCCGCCTGTGAGGGAAAAAGGATCAGATTAGTAGAAAAAAAATTGATCATCAGAAATTCTCGAGCGCGTCAGAGCTAAGATGAACCATATATATCTTAATCTGACGCGCTTGGGTATTTAAAAATGGTGAATTTTTTTTGTACATCATAATAATGGCCGCGAGTTTGCGACAGATCGAAATTGTTAGATTATTGAATGAGAGCTTTTTTTTTGTTGCACTCAACACCCCCTTAGAAAATCTGACGCGCTCGATCAATTTTTTTTTTCTTTTCACTTTCAACCCTTACGTACAACCACCCACATCATGCAAACGATCAGATTAACATACCAACATTATTAAAAATACGTAGGACATTGATGCTATCAATATCGGACGCGCTCGAGTATGTCCATGCAACAGTATTTTTTTACATATTGAAAATCTATAGCTGCTTCCCCCACCGATGAAAAACTATATATTATATAACATTTTTTTCTTCTTATCATCTAAGCTTTGCAACCTAATATGTCTCAATGACGCTCGAGTTAATCCCCATTTTGCATCGTGGGCTCCCCTGCTAATAGCAATGAAATGAAACTGAGCTGCCGAGCTCCAGACAAACAGGCCATATCTAATAATGAATTCGAACAATGCATAATAAGTAGTTATTGCAGCGGATTGGTTAATAAGTTGTTTAACTTTTCTTATAGCAAATACTGCACTATTTAGTCTATTGCAAATTGTAAATATATATGTATGTTCCTGACATCTATATCTACACCCAGAATTTTAGTGTGCTGCATGTCTAGGTCGTTTTCTATATTGTAGGATAGTCTGGATTCGAAAATGAGACTTTTGTTTTTTTTTCATTGAGTATGAGCTTGTTTGTCAAGAACCAGGTTTTTGCTTGTTCCATAACTTCCCCAAGGATTGTAGCCGGATACTCCCCTTTATTAATACTGTTGCCAAATGTGGTGTCACAGTGTACGAACATCTTCAAGAATCAAAACACATCTTACCTGGAAACTTCCGATATAACCGAGTTTTCAAACTTCACATTTCCGTTTTTAACTTGATGATGGGATTAAACCCGAAACCGGTCGTATAAATAAAATTAACTAGTGGTAATTAGACAAAAGTGTTTTTATTCATTTCATTACAGTGATTATTTCTGAGACAGCAGCTTGAAAACATTTCAGAAAATCAAGAATACCTTTGGTGTTTTAGTAATTGAAAGGTTCTGCTGCGAAATTAGTTTTGAGTCAAGTAATAGATAAGTTTTGTATAAAAAACCAATAAAACCTTTCAAGTTCTTGTCTCTTTTCTTCTTCGTTTTCAAAATTGACATGAAAGATTATTTTTCTGAATGTCATCATGTACTTCTTCGGTAATTTTTATAATATTAATCTCCTCCTATTCAATTATGCTAATTTATCAAATCTCTAGATAGAATTTGAATCCTACGCAGTTCCTAGATGCTAAATGATTTGTATAAAGTATGCGACAAATGGTCAGCTGTATTGATTAGGTCATTAATTTGATATTTATATGTGCGTCACCGTTGAATTCAAGGTATTATAATAATCCAAATATAAATCATATTCATATAGGAACGTAATTAACACAGATTAATTTTGGCATAAAATAACTGAATGAAAATTATAAAATGAATATACAAAAACATTCCCAACAAATTCAAAATATTTATGACTCTTGGCTCACTTAGTTATAAAAATGTTATACTATTAAATTTCAGATTTAGATTCAGACTTATTTAGATTAAAGTGTACAGACAAAGATACATAAAGACGATTATTATAAAGTTTCTGTAGGATGACGAAACTGCACCCAAAGCATTTTGTATGCTCAAGTCGTGCTTCTCTGCTACCCTCCAGAAACATTGTAATTGTCCAGGGTGAAAGTGGTGTAATTATTCAGTATATTATTCAGTTGAAGGGAGAGTGAGACGTTATTGATGAATGATATATTTTCAGGAACGTTGGATTATAGGATTAGGAAATACCGAGAAAATACATCAGCTGAATTATTATTTTGTAAATTTCTTTTGGCTTATTCAGAATGGAATGTTTTGTTTATTGCTTGTACTTATGGAACTTTGTTTGTTATCTTCTCGTCTTGAAGTAGAAGATTATTTTGTGTAGATCTTTTTGTACAATAGTGATTAGGTTATGGAACATCCATTTTAGGCATTGATAGGCATACAAGCGTCTAATATCAAATATCTGCGACTGCTCATATAGTAGTGTAGTTCAATGAAGTCTTGGTTATTTGAATATCATTTTCAGGATTTTGTTTTGCATTGACTAGAGTTTTGTTAAATTATTGCGAAATAAGACTCCCATTCTATTATCCAATACCCTAATATGGATTTAGCTAATGAATAGTAAATTACTCCCAGTATTTTATCATTCAGAAATCCTCTCGATCCATATATTTTTCTAGATAAATGTCTGAGTTTGTTAGTCAAAGATAGAACATGCTTTACCCACCTCACAAGTTTCGGTCTATCATAACACCTAAATATGTTTAAATTATGTTTTCTAATAACCAGCTGTCGCACCCTTACGAACGACTACCCTCAGAAGTCGAAACTTGTGCGAGCTAAGAACTAACAAGATCTTACCGTTTAACGTGTAATTCCTAACACGGGTTGAATGATATCAAGTGAAAATCGATCGTTCATCGGTCGATTGAGAGAGTGAACAAAGCACCCACGTCGAATCGCCCGGCTACCGAGCTACTTGATACTATTACAGTTCTCTATTTTCGGACAATTGCTGGTTAATCGATTTTGGCTATTATTCTCGTATGCATGAATATTTTTTTACAAACGGTTGATCAACTGTGATCAGAGAATATGAAATGTATTTAGTTTTTATTACATTCAGGTTTTGGTCTAGCCATTTTTAACTTTTCTAATTCATTATTTGCATCAATAACCTCATCCCAAGTGTTTGCAGAAAAATTCAAAGTGATCTTGTGTATGGATAATTGTGTAGAATATCGTTTGCCGGTCCTCTAATTCCATAATTGTAAAGCTTCTCCAGAAGAACTTCGTGAGATACAGTATCAAATGTCTTGGCCAGGTCAAGAAAGATAGCCAGACATTTATCTGATCCATCTAGAGTGTTTACCGTCTTTTCCACGAAGTCAAGAACAGCTTTTTCTGTGTTTGAGTTACTCAGAAACCCTTATTGCTTTTCAGTTATTACATTATTTTCATTCAGAAACGTTACGAGTCGTTACTTGATGCTATGTTAAAAAATGTTTGCGAAGTTATCGATGAATATAAAATTCTTGAATAACTCTAATATTTGTGTTTTCACTGTATATAATAAAGGGAAAACATGAGGAAATAATTGAAAAAACTGTTTATTCACATCAAAATCGTCAACTGCAAAAATCACCAATAAACTCGACATTTATCTTTCGGATTCATTTTCGACCCTTCCGGACAATTGAAATCTTTTGCGAAATATGGAGAATTTTTTAAACGCCCCATTACTCTGAAAATAGGTTGGCCATGAGCATCGTCCTTATTGTGGATGTCATCTTTTTTGGAAAGTCTGGGCTCGTAACACATGTAAGTACTTGCCATGATCCAGAAAATCTGCTTTGGGGTATACTTGATACCAGGAAGGCTTTTTTCAGGTCCATGTTTTCTCACCCAGTTTAAGTATGCAGTGTATGCCGTATTAACTCCTGTGAAGTCTGCCAGGTTTTCTTCTAAGCCGGTGTTGTTCTCCTGAAAACCACATGATCACCATGTTTCCAAATGACTAACTTGAATATTCAGTACATTCGATTTGTTCAGACTTCCATTGTCTAATATGATATAAATTGATTTGAAATCCCTGAAAGAATATGTAAAAAATTAAAAGATTAGCCGAAAAATAACGATTATATCAAGCAAAAAAAAATGACATTAAATAAAAGCAACAACCAAAAAATAAAAAATATTGAACTATTAACACGAGATGAAATTTAAAAAAAAGGATCAACAAAAAATTAAAAATAAAAAAAAATATTAAAAGATTCCAAACCAAGTTACTGAACGACGTTTCGATTTTTATTATCCACAATCGTCTTTGGGTGATAACTGGACTCATTCCTGCATGTCATCTTGATCTCTTTCAGGCTGGAGCCTTGTTCCCCTGCCCTTTGGGCTGGTTTTCGTCAGAGAGACAAATAGGTCATAACTGGTCAGTGATGGTGGATTGAATGTCCTCAGACATCCGTACCGCCCTTCGCGGTGTACCCCTACCTGGCTGGGGTGAGATGGATGGAGATATTATTCATCTGTTAACGGAGGACATGAGGGCCTCTTTCGACAGAGTGTCGGGGCATTCTATATCGGGATGGGTCGTCTATAGCGACCCTGACTTCCCTGACTAACGGATTATCGTGAGTTTCCGCGCAATATAAAACTCGCCGAATCCCCGACTGGATGGACTGCTGAATAGCAGCTGTAAATCTCTGCGGATGGCTTCATTTCGCACGAAACACGGAGCATTCACAATCATCCGTAGTATTTTATTTTGTAAAGTCTCCAAGATGGAGATATTGGACGAAGCCGCTTGTCTCCAGACGCCTGAAGCGTACAACTTCGTGTTGTAGACCGTAACTTTGTTTTTAGGCTTAACCTGGATCGTATGTTTATCAAAGAGTACAGGCTTGCCACCCGACCCTCGATCTTTGCCTTCACGATTATAAAGTGCGGGTTCCAGGTGAGCCCACGATCCATTAGAAGACCGAGGTACTTTACCCGCGCTTGCCAGTCGATTTCCCTTTCCATGGTTATCGCTTGAGTCTTTTTCGGGTTCACTCGGATCGTCCACTCGAGGTACCAGCGCTTGAGGTCATCCAATGCACGTTGCATATAGACGATCCTAAGCTCCCGACCTTCCGAGCTCCTATGCTCGGACCTCGGAAGGTCGCTGGTGTGAAGAGAGTAAAGCATGGGAGAGAGCACGGCCCCCTGTGGCACTCCAGCGAGGATCTCTCTGTCGTCAGACAGAGAGCCCTCTACTCTAACCTGAAATGTTCTGTCTTTCAGGAAAGACCTAATCCACCGGATCAGGCCCCGAAGCAGGTCAAACGCAATTAGTTTATGCAGAAGGCTTTCGTGTCCAAACACGGTCAAAGGCCTTCGAAATGTCTAGTAGAACGACATGAACTTTTCTATTACGATTTAACTCCGCGATGGTATTTTCGACCAGTCTCAGGGCCTGTAACTCAGTGGAATGCTCCCTCCTGAAGCCGAATTGTTCGTCAGCCAGAACATTTCGGTCCTCAACTTCTTCGTTGAGCCTTTGAAGAACGAATCTTCCAGCCAGCTTAGCCGCCGACGAGAGCAGACTAATCGGGTGATAGTTCTGCGGGAAAAGCCGGTTCTGCCCCTGTTTTGGGAGCACGACAACGATCGCATGCTTTCACCTTCTGGGGAGGTATCTGAGGGCCAACAAACTATTTATAATAAACTGGAGATTCTCGACGCAGTTTTCCGGGAGCTTTTTCAATAACTTATTTGTTATTGAGTCGACCCCCGGAGCTTTTTTGGCCATTGCGGCCCTGATGTAGCCCTTCAATTCTCCCACAGAAGCCAAACGGATGTTATCATCGTCATTCTCCCTGAGGATGCGGTGAATCCGATCTTCCAGCAGAATATCAGGGTCGATGTCGTCAACGTCAAGCTGACGTATCGGTAAAGGCCAACGCTTTGTCGGCGGGGGAGTAGCACACTCCGCGCTCTCCGTGAATGGATGAGGGAGCGGTATTCTTCCCTTTAAGTCTACGAGTGATTCGCCAAAGCTCGTCACCCCCAGGCTCAATGGATTCATTCCTCCGAGATCTGACTATTTATAGGTCATTCGAGTGCTTTCACCTATCATCTCTTCCCTCTCTCCGCTTCATCGGTGATTACGGGAGCTGACCGTTTGGAGGGAGTTGGTCGCGTTCCGCTTGATAATGTTTCCATATGTTGCGTAGCTCTACGTTAGCTTGGCTAAATGCGTTGATGGACCACATATATGCAGCTTCTTTGTATTTCTCCCTAAAAGAGTGTTCCTTCTTGTAGATGATCTCAGTTTGAATCCGTTTGATGTTATGTTGATGAGTCCAAACATGTTCTGCTATTCCTAATTTGCTGGTTCCTCCTGTGTGTTTCTGCTATTCCAAGAATTGCATTTACCGGATACCTTGCGAGTGCGGAAAATCATACATCGGTGAAACTAAGAGGCCATTGAGAGTTCGCATTGCCAAGAACAAGAAACACACACAGCGAGGAGAAACCAGCAAATCAGGTATATCAGAGCATGTTTGCACTCATCAACATAACAGCAAGTAGGCTCAAGCTGAAGTCATCCACAAGGAGGAACACTGGTTTAGGAGAAAATTCAAAGCAGCCGCATATATGTTTGTCCAACAATGCATTTAGCCAAGTTAGCGTAGAGATACGCGACATATGGAAACGTCTAATCAATCGGAACACGACCAACTCCCGCCAAACGGTCAGCTCCCGCTAAAACCGATGAAGCGGAGAGCGGGAAGAGGGGATAAGTGAAGGCACTCGAATGACCTATAAATAGTCAGATTTCGGAGGAATAAGTCCCGTTATCACTCGAAGACGATTATGGACACTAACTTGGCTTGAAATCTTTCAATCATTTTTTTTTATTTTTCATTACTTGTTAATATTTTTTTTTTATTTTCATCTCGTATTAATAGGTAATTTTTTTGATTTTTTAGTTTTTGCTTGTCGTTTATTTCAAGTGGACGACACCATCATAATATGGAGCCATGGAAATGCTGAACTAGACACCTTCCTGAAGCACATCAACAACGTAAGTCCTTCCATCACTTTCACAATGGAGAAGAAGGTCCACAACGAATTGCCATTCTTAGACGTATTGGTGAAGAGAACCGACACGAAATGGGAAACATCTGTGAAAGAAAACCCACTCACACAGGACAGTATCTGAACCAGGAATCCAACCACCATCAATCGACTAAGGAATCATCAAGACTCTACTAGACCGTACTTTCGGGCTCTGCAATACAAAGGAATGTTTCGAAATGGAACTTGGCATCATCAAAAATGACCTTCAACGAAATGGTTACTCCAAAGTGATGGTGGAATAGGCTTTAGCTAAAAGACAGCAAGAGCTCCATAAGGAAGAGAAGCCGTCACAACCAGTACTTGTACTTTCCTACATCATGATTGTCGGAAAGGATAAGAAGGATTGAGTCCAAGTATAACATCAGGACCTGCTTCAGATCTGGGAACACTATTCGTAGCAGCCTCACAACAACCAGGCCACCTAACGCGGACTGGGATTCCAAGAATTGCATTTACCGGATACCCTGCGAGTGCGGAGAATCATACATCGATGAAACTGAAAGGTCATTAAAAGTTCACTTTACCGAGCATAAGAAACAAACACAGCGAGGAGAAACCAGCAATTTTTTTGATTTTTTAGTTTTTGCTTGTCGTTTATTTCATTGTAATTTCAGTTTTTTTGCTTGATGTAATCGTTATTTTTCAGCTAATCTTTCAATTTTTTACAGATTCTTTCAGGGATTTCAAATCAATTTATATCATATCAGACAATGGAAGTCTGAACAAATCAAATGCACCACGAAACATTGTCAACCACCTTCAAACAAATATTTAGTAAATTATACTTCGTTCTTAGGAACTATTGTGAAATTCACAACAGTTTCTAAGAATTACTTTCGGAATGTTAAATTTCCACTGCTATTATCAAAATATACTGCTAGATTGCAATCGCCACAATGATTTTGTTACCATTGTTGTCAGTAAATATAAAATCAACATCATGTTGTGATAATTTCTCTAAGAGTTGAATATGTGCAGTAGTATTTTTGCTCTTTATTCGTGATTGGATTTCATATATCCTCTATTTCTCATGCTTAAAAAATCCGTGTATAAAATATGGATCATGCACTGGATGAAGTATAAAAAGTTCTATATGTGTTTATTCGACAAAAATTCACTTACGGTTGGTTGTCCGATTTCCTTCAGAAAATTCTTGTACTCTTCTACCAAGCATCGGGAAACATTTTCAAAGTTTTCGATAGATTTGTTTGTCCACAATTTTTCGGATTCCAAACTGTCGTCGTTAATACTGAATCCGTGGGTCAATTCATGACCAATGACGGATCCTAAGGCACCGTAATTCATGTAGTGGGGTTGGTAAGCGTCAAAAATGTGACCTTGTAAAATTGACGCCGGTAAAACTGAAACAAAAACCAAAAGTTTCACTCAAAACGTTTTAATGGAATTTTGATCCAAACGTAAAATTCTCGTCATGGTTAACCATATTACGCACTGTCTTGGTCTTTGCTATCGATAGGAACCTTGAACCAATTGATATCAGAACTTTGTTATAACTCAGCAATTGTTGAGGCCGCTGACTACACTCAGGAACCTGAGAAATTAAAGGTGAAAGAAACTTATAGTGTGTGGATAGATTATATACTGAGAGAAGAATTGTTACATATACCATTGCGAAGAAAATCCTAGTGACGCGAGTAGTAAGAGGCCATCCTCAAAGGTATGGTGTATTCTCATTATAATGGAGCCTCATAATGGACGATCTACAACTCATTCTGGATGTTGAAGGAGAGAAAATGTGTTCGGTCTCAAAATCTTGCTATCGAAGTTATTATGTTTTTCAAGTGGGTTGTGAATCTTAATTTTTTAGTATTTAGCATAGAGTTGCCAGCACAACAAAACAGATTGTTTTATGGTATTATTTTTATTTTATGTATTGTTAACAAATTTTGTTTAAGTTATTTAATTTGTCGTTATTCCCAAGGGTTTCCCAATCGGGGTTTTCCAGTTGGTCTTCTAATGTACAGGTCTTTTCTAATCCACTTATCATGATAAAATTCAACATTATCGAATATCTTTTCTCAAGCAACCCATATATTTAGGTCTATTTTTCGTAAAAATCGTAGGCTACAAATAGCTAGATTTTTAAATTCTTTAATTGTTTCGTGTATCTTTTATCTTGGGAACTACCCGCTATTATGACCTTTCCTACCTATGTTGATCAAAACCTCTGTCTATCCCTACAATGACTAATCTGAACCTCCTTCTCTAACTACCGATGTGAAACTTTGCATTTTTGTAAAGTAATTCATTACGTTTCAAACCTTGTAAGAGTATAGTTAGAATGGGGAATGTACCTCAATTTGGGTTATTACAGCAAATGCAAGTTTGATCAAAATAATGTTGAGTTTAATTCATGAGTTTTTCAAATTCACTTCGAAAAGTATTCAAATTGATGTTTCAAATAGGTTTTGATTTTCAAAGGGATTTGTTTCTAATTCACATATTGGCAACAGCGCCTATATCAAGTTGAAGTAATTTATACGTACCTAGATATTCTACTTTAAAAAAGGAAAATTATCTTTATAAATCAACAATTAAGGCAAAATATTAATTATTGTTCAATATCACCTCCAAAAGCCACATAAACAACAGTTGTTTTGTTATTTATTTATATAGACATATGACATTTTGGGTAAAATGTCATATGTCACAGAATGTCTCGGAACTTGGAACATAACAGCAAGCCTCTCAAATATGTCATCTTTGTTTGTCTCATAGAGGTAACAGATTCATTGTCCTTTATTAGCTATAACCGATGTTGCCAAATGGTGAAATAAAAACGACGAATCCCTTTAAATGTTGAATGCATTATTGTATTTCTCTTTTTTGAGTATTTAAATAATTTTTTAAAGAAAAAGGTTGAAATGATGAGTTTAAAATGCATTGTTTTAGAGCTCTTTTATGAAAACTACTCGATTTTCGTCAGAAGGAACATTCCCCATTAAATCTTGTTTTGTCTACAGAACATCTAGCCAGTTATTTTTCTTATCCTATCTTTTCACAAGAGTTATTGTAATTCTTGTGTGCATTGAGCATTCATACTCACGGTGAAATAATCGTGGGTCAAAACAAAATTGCTTATGAAGTTATAAACCTGCTGGTCGAAGAACTTTCTAAGAAGTTTCCCGAGTACTTACAAAAAGTAAACATCTGGGCTAAAAAACTTGTGGAGTTCGGAAGTGAGGAAAGGCTCTTGAGCAATGGGTTTTTTTGTTGTCGCTTTTGAAACTTCATGCACGTCATTGATTTATAGTATTGGCAGCACAATCTAAGCTGGTGAAGAACAGTAATTTCTTCCACTTTCCCAACCAATATTGTGAAATACACATCCCATTCAGTTCCTTTGCTCTCTTACGATATTCTAAATCTGCTGATGAGTTTATTGTGCATTCTTTCACAATTTTCAAGAATTGAGAATAACGAAAAAGCGAGTGAGCTTTCGTCCAGAGCAAGAAAATTCGTCAGATCGTAAAGACGCAAATTAACCAAAGCCTTACACTCATCCTCATGATAACAGTATGATAGAAACTGAACCATCAGTTATTTCCATTAAATGAAAATCATCGTGTTTCTCACATTTTTCACTTCTTTCATTATGTTATTTTTTCGTTCTTTGATCCCCAAGCGATGTGAGTCACTTAACAGATTTTTATTTATCATTATTGATTAGCTATACTTTTTTTTCTGTATATGGGAAAGAAACGACTGTTTTTTGTTTTGAAAATGATGGACGTTTCCATAATACCCTTCTTTTGAAGGTCGGCAGCCGGTCGTTTCGACGTGGGTGCTTGTTCACTCTCTCAATCAACCGCTGTGTGAGTCGGTGGTTCAAGCCGCAAGTTGAACGAACGATTTTCTATTGCTAACGTCCAACCCGTGTTAGTAATCTCACCTCGTTAGTCCCTAGCTCGCACAAGTTTCGACTTCTGAGGTTGGTCGTTCGTAGGGATGCGACAGCTGGTTAACGGAAAAACAGTTTTAAACATATTTTGGGCGATGAGTCCTAATATCTGGAGTTGTATAAACACAGAATATTTTGATAAACCGTCATATTATCATAAAAATCATGGATGAAAAATGGAAAAATTGAACTCATAAACACATTCACTTACGTCATCACCCCGCACAATATTTATATTATATACAACCTTGTCTGTCTGAAAAATATACTCCACTGCGCCCTTTCTGTAACGAAACGTCCTGGAACACACATCTTCATAAAAAAACAAATGCGAAATGTCATTGCCTTTTGGAGAACGGAAAAAGCATGTATCCAACCAAAGCTCAGGCTTAGTTTAACGTTTACAAAGTTGTTTACGATGTGAAATATCACAAATATAGCAGAATATTATGTTGATTTCCTGAATGGATTGTTTAACTATCGATATTCATTATCACTTACAACTTTGACATTCAACTGTTTGTTCAATTTCTAATATTTTTATGGAAATAAATACGGAAAAAATGTGTATTTTATCGATTCACAGGAATTGGACGCATATAATATGTGTTTGCGATGCAAGAACAATCATTAAATATTTGAAGCATGAAAACAATATATTGCATCTTTGGATGACAATTATAAAAACATAATATACAGTGTCATCCTCAAAGTATGCACCATATGAGTAACTTATTTATTTGGGGTTTTCGACAAAATGTTATTCCTGATGAAAGTTTGTGCATCCCCTGAAACTAAACATGCCCCAACAAAATACAGTAAAACACACGTAATATACGAGGAGCCTTCATATATTTGATTTTGAGACAATAGTAAAGTACTCTTATTTCGAAAAACATCCACAAATGTTATTTAGAGAAGTTCTTCAGCATTTAAAAATAAATCTAGGTTTGAAGTCATGGCCATCTAAGTGAAGTTTTAAATTTTTACCCTTTTTTTTAAATGGAGACAACGAAAAAAAATTGCTAAAACGATAAATAGACAGCATACTGTATAAGACGGTTCATTTTAAAAGCCTGTAATACTACAAATTACACAACTATGGTGTTAACCATGGTTAATTATTTCAAGAGTAAAATAATTTTTTTGTGCAAAGTTATTTTCATTTTTTGTTAACACCAAAATAACTCAAAATCATACAGTATTGTAACAAGAACTCAATATTCAATAATATCAAATCATAAAACATCAAAATAAAATAGGTATTTTGGAACAAACTCATTGATTTTCTGAAGATTATTTTGGACAAGAAAATCTCCAGAAAATCACAAAAACGATAGGATGATTACATACACATTAATTATAAATCATACCTATAACCATCTCATCACGAACGTCATTGTTTATAACTATTTTGATCAATTTGCAGACGTTTTACTGAAACTATCGTATGGTCGATATTTTGCAAATATCACCCATTGAAACCCATTGAAAAAATTCCATTACATTTAATTTAGACAGACTGATATTTGAATTTGAATTCAATTATTCAATGACAACATTCATAACCTACCCAACAGCAAAGTATAGAGAACATATTTTTTTATACTTTCTTTTTCGTCCTTCTGTCCGTCCATATCTCCATCAATGAACAAAAAATGTGGAAAGCTTCCGAGAAAAAGTTTAAAAAAATAACTACAATAAAAACTATTCATAACAATATGTAAATGAAATACAGGTTTCTTTCACTTTCATAGAACACAATCATCCTCAAAGGTGTACTTTGAAGTTTCGGGACTCCTCAACAGTACCTGTTTGTAAATCATAATAAAAATAGTACTCATTTTTTTCAATATCCGCTGTTAGCATTAGTTGATTATATTCCAACCACAAGAATTTTTGGTTGGAATATACAGTTCAATATACAGTTTCAATTCAATGATGAAAAAGTAGAAAGCAGAACGCTTTACTGCCCATCCTGGAAATATCCCCTTTTCAAAATAAATAGTAGCCATGAGTTTTCTACGCTATTCAAGAATGGAACTTTGATTTGATGCCACTTTCAATTCAGTGATGAATAAGTACTTTCACAAATTTGAATCAACATATTCAATAGAAGTTAATTGATAAATGATATGTGTAAATACTTACTTAGTAAATTAATTTGCCGTGAAAAATATGCATTCACATCTAATTTTGGGGGTGGCACCATGTACAGGTCCGAATTATTCAGTCGAATTTGTTTGTAATAACTATCGAGTTTAGCTTTTCTGGTCATTCTCGCCATGTGTATAACGTTATCGTTAGAAAAAGTGAGCTGAAAAACCACATCGTATATTGATTTTGAATATTCATCTGCGTGTAAAATTGCCTTATTTTTCAACAAAAAAGGGCACAGTTTCTGGTTCAGTTTTATGTGTATATTTGATCACTTATGGAATCGAAAACTTTTCAAAATGGCATAGTTCATTGAAGCAAAATATTTCAACCATGACTCACTGCAGCCCTTATTCAATTGGGATTAACAGATGATTGTTATTAGTGTAACACTCACCTTATCCAATCCAGTCAATTCGTCAACTTTTTCAACATCGACAGCCTGATCGATCCAGCCTATAGCTTCTGATATATTTTTCAACTGTTTCAGAGCATTTTTCCTACTAGTCTCGTCTATCCATGGAGTGACTTTAATGGATTCTTTCATTTCCCTTTTAATATATGCAATCATCTCCTTTATGTATACTTTTTTTTCTTTCGGAGTGTATCTACGAACATATTCCGATTGTGCTATAAATCCAAATCTGAAAAAATATACTGTCAAAAAACTTCTTCATCTGAAGTTTTTTTATGTTATATTGTGTTATGTATTCAGATCAGAATGAATATAACCGACTAAGGTAGAGAACAGAGCAGAGCAGAGCAGAGAGAACTGGATCCTCCGAGAGAAGGAAATATTAAGAGCAGACAGCTATTAGTTCACAGATGTATGGAAAACACCTTTCGGTCCTGGTGCAGGTGTTTTCAGTAGCAGACCCAGGACAGAGACATCAACTTGCCTAGGAATCTAATCGACTGTATTTCAAGCGGAAATTTACGATATTGAATTGTGTGCGGAGAGATTGGAAGAATCCAACCTCATTCACATGTCAATAAAAATATTCTCAGACAATCAAGAGGTGTTGGAGCTCTTGGCTCCTACCGAGCAACATCTAAATTGATAGCAAATTGCCAGAAACGACTCTCCTCCATAAGAAGACAACATATTTTCTCTGGTCTGGATTCCTGACCATACTGGACTGCAAGGCAATGAGGCTGCTGACTCCCTTGCAAAGAAGGGTGCTGCAAGCAGCTTCACCGGACCAGAACCTGTCACTGGCATCGCTTTAGGCTTTGCCAAACAAACATTGGACAGCTGGATGACAAGAAGATTGATGGATTGGTAGAATCTTCCAGAATTGGCTCACTCCAAGGCGTTTATTTACTTTTCGAAACTTGATACCAACAGTTGTTGGACTACAGTAGGGATGAACTACGATATTCTTACAGGTCACTGTCAGTTGAATTATCATATGCAGAGACTCGGACTGTCGGAAGAGTTCGGCAGAGCCGTACCGCCATCTGCCATATGTCATGAAAGACCAGTCACCATACAAACTATTCGGCTTCGTTGAGAAGCTGGGTTTATTTGATCGAGTGGGAATAGGTGTGAGCCACAATAAACCCTTGCGGGTTGAGGTGGAGGGTCGAATAGACCCACTCACTTTGGATGTAACGGAACCTAACCTAAGCTAGTGAACAGCAAGTTTGCCAGTGGTAAATTGGCGCCATAGAAGTGTGTCCGGCTTTTAACACACAGGTCGAGAGTTCAACTCTGTTTTCGACTAGATATTTTTCACGAGAGAATTTGTCTAATTGTGTAAATTGTAAATCAGGAAGTTATTAATATAGACTACCCTGAACAGGAGGCTAATGAATATAGCAGCAAAAAACAACTGAAGGAGAAATATACACCACCATAGCAAGATGTATCATCAGTTTTGTGAATCGCAAGCAACTATCTCCATATCAACATGTAAGAACACTCGTCTTTTCGATACCTAACACGTCGAATGGAAACTGATGATTTCAATAATGAAAAAAATTCTATACATCGTAATCTGAAAACTTTCATAATAATAACCCACATTTCTTCTCAAATTAGAAGGTAGCACAGCATGTCTGGGTTCGTATACTACGTCAAATTCCCACTACGTCGAATTCTAACTACATCAAAAGCCAACCCTTTCACTCACAAACGTTTTCGAAACTGAAATTAATTTTACATGGCCAGATTTTGCTGTAACAATAATTTGACGAGAGAATTCGACTCGGTGAGATTTTTTGCTCCCAGGCAAATCAGTCATCTTACGTCGAATTCTCACTATGTCGAATTCATTGCCATGTGAAATCAATTTCAGTTTCGACCACTTTCGTATGTTGTGACGTCGCATGAGGTTGAAAATAAATATAATACACTGATTAGGAGATACTCACAAATCTGTGCTCAGTTTGAAACATTTCGTACTCCTAGAATTTGTTTCAACTTCTCCACTGTCGGAATATTTTGACATCTCATCGTACTTGTCTCTCACTTTCTTTGAGAGATAATGTATATTTCTTGAAATGATCGCCCACGCCATGTAGTTGGCCTGGATTCTGAAAATTATTATTTCAACGGTTGACATTTTTAAATTGTGATATTGGCAATTTATTTTCTGAATACACTTGAATCACTTGTATCGAAAATTTTCACACGATCTACAGAGTTTCGGATGTCCTAATATATATGACTATTGAGTATGTGATTGAATCTGTCGATACTTGATGAAAATCCATAACGTATTAGAAAAACTTGTGAGATTTTCATAAAAACAGTTTTACAAAAACGCAAATGGTCAGGCGTGCACAAACACATCTGAAGAAGCTATTGTATAGCGAAACACTTGTTGCGTTTTAGTAAAACTGTTTAGTGAAAATCTCACAATGAAGTGTTTTTTGAATAGAACTATTCAAATTTGAGTACAAATATTGGCATCTCGTAAGATCGGAAAATCGATATGTTGTTTTCATCTTCAAATGAATTGATTTTAATTTAAAGTTCATAAGAAATTCCTGGGGAATTTTAAATATTAGTCGGAAAATTCAGTAATATGAAAGACGAGCAGTAATAATGACTGAGTTCATTTCTACGATATCTTCGAAACTGAGAACATGCCATAACTTTTATTATTCATTTATGGATTGGTCCTCTCAGCAAGAGAGGAATAAAATCATTTGCAGTCTGAAGTACTAGCTCATTCAACAAAATCACCTTTTTTTTAAATTGATTGACTCCCGATCGAATACTGCGAAAAAAACCCACTGCGTATATTAGAAATTTGTGATAACTTATTTCAGGTATTTTAAAGTTGGTAGTACCCCAAGTCGAATATCCTGAATAAAAACTCCATCGTCATATTATGCTTGTTCAATACAAGTGCATATGGCAGAGTGTAACCATATTTTCAATAGCTCTGTAAATCGAGAAGATACAGCAAAAAATAGAATTTTCAGTTTTTCCGGCATGCATCTGGTTGATCCGAAGAGTAAATGGACAATTCCGAAAAATGAATTGATGATTTTTTTCGAATTAGGCAAGATTTATATCATGGAACAATTATGAAACTCAATACAAACGATTGGTCCGTTACAATTCCTTTAAAAATCTTCTGAACATGAGCAGTAGACCCATAAATCATTTTTACAAAAGTTTCAACCATAAACGAAGTTTCTTCTGGCACTCCTCAAACTCAGGAGCAGTTTGATTACCTAATATCACAATAGGTACTTAATATTTATGTAATAAACAAAGTAAATCACAAAGTAAGTCACGACATGATTAGGTACGTGGACGCGGCAAAATGTCTTCGTCGCTTGTATGGAATTCAAAACGCCGAACATGACCGATCACAGCGCGGGAACTCCCGAATGCAGTTTCGGTCGTAGTTTCGGCAGGTTTGCCGCCGAAACCGAAACTAAACCGAAACCCGTTTTTTTGCCGAAACTCGACCGAAAAGGAAACCGAAACCGAACTTTCGTTCGGACACTAGAGCAAAACAAAGTTAATTCGCATATTCAGACTTGGTATCTTCAAAAAATATTAACAGTTCATCTTTCAATTAGGATTATAAAGCAAATTTGGATAGAACTAACTTATATAACTTATATCTTCACAGATGATTATGTTTAGATGATTCAGGTTTACAAGGTTTTACCTTTCAAAGCGTTCTCAATTTTCAGTTCCTGTCCAAGTGGCTCACTGAAATCTGATGGCAAAACTTCTTGACGAACAAAATGGTGTGTTCATGAGATATTCGGTATTCTTAATTCCAATTGATTCCGTTATATGTATATACCTTCATCGCCAAAGCTACCAATAACGATACATTGTGTGCAATCAATCTCGTAGTTGCTTTCTAATAACATGTACAAACACTGGCCTATAGTGTTTGCAGTAAATTCATCAATATGCAGTTTTCCTCTTTTATACTACTTGTTTCGATCGTTATATATTTCTTCAATACAAAGAAAATGAAAACATTAAACGAATTAAGATCCTGTTGGTCGCCAGAATTTTTTTTACTTGTAAGGGGTCGTTTTTATGAAAGGGCTGAAAAACACTGCTTCAAGCAATGGAAATCCGAAATCTAACACTCACGAATAAATAAGAAACAAACTCCAAAAAATCTGTATGAGATAAGAGAGGGTGATGTATTTACTTTCCAACATGCGGTGTTCACTTCGTTACCAAAAAGTTATCAAAAGATACCACTTCATTACCAAAAAGTCGATGTCCGAAATTTATGCTGAATTCAGAGAGTAGTCAGGAAATGAAACGTTTACTACAAGGTGTATTACTTGTTCAGTTTTCATTGAACATTATCATTTACTTACTTTTTAGGAGTCTTCAACAATAAATAGTATAAATCCTTGAAATACATATCGACATCGAAAACAACTTCTTCATTTCCACTCAAATCCAAATTTGTCATGTTCCTGAGAAAATTGAGCCATTCTATTTTTATGAATTTGTGATTGAGACACTTCACAGTTACATTCTTTTTCGGGTCTTCTCCTGTTGACGTTTCATTGTGATATTTCTCAATTATCTGAAATTGCATTAAAATTCATTTCTATTGGGAAGTATTTTTTTTCTCTCCAGAAATAAGAATAAGGCAAGTATTAGGTTATTTCAAAAGTAGTTTTGTCCGTAATAATTCCAAGGGTTTTTGTAGTTCCATATTTCAATAAATGTTTATTCTATTGTGTCATGGCCTATACCTAATTCAAATTGAACGAACGCGCTGCCGAAACAGATCAAAATATTAACCAGGAATTTGACATTGAGAGTGATAATGAACGCATTGTTCTACGGTGATTAGCGAAATTTCTTTCCGGAGATTTTCGCCTCAAGGCTGAGCCTCGAAGTGGTTGACCTACTAAGGACCCTGGTTGAGACTGACCCAAACGGTGCGTGGAGTGGTGGAAGAACTGGGCATCCTCTTCCATGCGGTTTTTGATGGTTTGAAACGCATTGGAGAAGTCAAAATGCTCGAAAAATAGGTGCCCCACAATTTGAGAGATCGACAGAAATTCTTACGATGTTTCGATGTCTGTTCTTCTTTGCTTTTCCGCAACCAAAACGATCTTCTTTGTATCAGATTGTCATGTTTGATGAAATGTGTATCCTCTTCGACCACAGGATATGTTCAGGACGGTGGTTGGATACCGATGAGCCTCCCAAACACTTCCCAAAGGCAAAAACCCAACAAAAAAGATCATGGTTACTGTATGGTGGTCAGCGACTGGTGTGCTTCACTAAAACTTTCTGCAACCAGGCCAAACCATCGCAGCAGAATCCTATTGTGAGGAATTCGACGAAATGTATCGAACATTGCCTCAGCAGTAGCCGGCACTGGTCAACAGAAGAGATCCGATTCTGCTCCACGACAACGCCTGTCCGCACGTTGTACAAATCATCGTTAAAAAATCAAGCGAAGTGAGCCTCGAAGTTCTGCTCCACCCACCATACTGCCAAGAACTCTCGCCAACCGACGGCCATCTATTCAAGCACTTCGAACACTTTTCCACAGGTGAAACCTTCACCAATCACGACCAGGCAAAAACGACCTTCGTCGACTTCTTGGAATGCAAAACAAACAATTTTGCCAAGGCTCAGTATTTATATCATAAAGTAGATTTACTATTTGAACGAATCTTAATAATCTCAGAGGTTTCTAATGTAATGTCGTAAATAAACACCCAAACGCTGGCTGAACCCTGCGAGATAGATCAAAATAATGTACCTACTACAGTATTGCACAACTTAAAAAAGTCTACGAAAAAGTCCACTATGGTATACGTCTACCTCTTAGAAATAACCCACAAAAACCATTTTTTATCCTCTACTAATATGTTTATAAAATCAAACTTTTTATTTTTCACTCAGGTTTTCGGTAGCAACTTAGCGGAACATGTACGTTATGGGACATTGACTCATATGGACACGTCCTTCAAATCACTTTTCAACATCGCAAATCAATCTGCATACATACTTCTTGTAACCGTTCTGCAAATGTCATTGTCGATCTCAGTTCGGTCCTCACACTGACGCTTTTCGCTCCCAGCAAGGCAGCAATATCAGTCATTATTTCGACGGTTTGCTCTTTCCATTCTAATGGCGGTTTATTCCAATGGAAAGACGATACTTCTTTTCTATCTGGTGGTTTGATCTACAAAATGAACACACTGTAATATGTGTGTATCATAATTATATTATTTTAATTCTTCAGGCACTCCCTATTTATTTTTTTTCAGTATTGGTGTCATGCTTGAAATAGTATAAACCTTTTTGTAAGACTTGTAGCAGAACTTGCTATGAGGTAATTTTTCTATATTTGTAGTCTTGAAGGGAAAAATGTTATTGAAATGAATCTAATAAAACCATTTTCCCACACTTGTTCAAAAGCACTCTCGCTAATCAGGTTATCATCTGCTGATGATGATAACCTGGTTGGCGAAACGCGCGTCAAGGGACGGTGCTTTCATTCAAGTGTAAGCAAAATTCTTTCAAATCTAAAGAAATGAACTTTAAACGTTCAAGCCAGTCTCGAATATACCTACACAGTAAGTTGAATGGACTGACGCCTATCAGAAAATAACTACTCCCGTGGCTAATACCACGAAGGGCGTTGGATTATATCCGACAGGCGTCAGTGCAGGAATCTTCACATATGCAATTGGCAATACAACTCAAAGAGTCGACCTTCAATTTTGGAACGGGCACACTTGCAGACCGGTTTCGGGCTCATTAGCCACTTATCAGTGAAAGATAGTGACAATCATTGATCTGAAGTCAATTATTTTCCTAATTGAAAATCGGAATTCTTTCAGAGTATTTCATTCTTCTTCCTAAGTTGGAGCGAAACAACAAAATGTCACTCCATCTAGTGGACAAGGTACTAACCAACTGCATATCCGTAATTTACCCGATTCATCTGAATAAGGAAGAAAAACTTTCTTATTAGTCAGTGGGCTATGCTTGAAGACTGGCAGTAAACAAATCTAAAGAAATGAACTTTTAACGTTCAAGCCAGTCTCGAATATACCTACACAGTAGGTTAAATGGACTGACGCCTATCAGATGCACTGACGCCTGTCGTATATAATCCAACGCACTTCGTGGTATTAGCCAAGGGAGTAGTTGTTTTCCGATAGGCTTCTGTCCATTTAACCTACTATGTAGGTATATTCGAGACTGGCTTGAACGTTTAAAGTTCATTTCTTTAGATTTGTTTACTGCCAGTCTTCAAGCATAACTCACTGACTTATAACAAAATGTTTTCATTAGAATATGTAGTCAATTTGGTGAATATGAATGAACTAGTTGTTGCCCGTGGCTTCGCCCGCGTAGAATATGGTTCTTCACATCAAGTTTCGTCACAGACCATTTAAAAGAAATAGCTGCAATATTTTTTTTCGACCCAGAACTTCAGGTTTCCAACTTCAAAACTGATGAAATTCAATGCAATCTTTGAACCCCCTTGGGGGTGGAAATTCCTGATTCCCTTTCTTGATGCTTATATATGCTATACAAAATACTGGAAAATGTATTTTTTTTGTGCCAAGGTACGTCTTGAAAACCTCAATTGGTTCGTACAAGTTTCAATTGATTTTTCACAGAAAAACACAATAAACAACATTCATGTTGTAGAATTGTCACCTAATCAATACGTAGTTCTTTGTGAATTTTTATGTCTTTAATGATTTCAGTTCTTCAGTTCATTTCGTTACAAAGTAACTCACCTTATTGTATATTTGTTGAACTTTCTTACTGAACAGTTTGGAAAAAACAGTTTCTAGTGGCTCCGACATTACTCACCCAAATTTTCAGTTTATTATCAGTATGATTGCGGTGCACTTCAACATTGAAGAAAAATTGATTGTATAGTCCCAAATTTCTCGCTCTAAGCATGACATTGGACCACTCAAAATCCCTCTCAACCCAGTTGAACGTCTTTAGAACTGGCCATCCACCAGTAACTTGATCTAGAAGGTTCAATATCGTTTTGTCATTATCTTCTTCTATGGCTGTTGTATTCAAGCACGCTCTATAGAATTTTCTTTGCATTACTAATGTTTTTGGCAAATTGGTTTCATTCGTCTTCTCCATAACTATATTTTTCAGTTGGTTCTTTGTTATTTCCGACAAAATACTCAGGGTATTGGGCTGCCCATTAATGAAAGCATTTTTCAAAAATGTTCCACATGCAAACTGATAAAAGTCTTCACAGGGATCAGCTTGGGGGTCTACTGTATCCAATATGTGAACTGCCGCTCGGATACATTGAGGTTCTTTACAAACGTTGGTATCTAAAAAAGTGTTTATCTTAATTACAACATTTGTTGAAATATACCATCAAAAAATCATGCACCAGACTGTTTGTAGTATTGAAATCGATTTTTATGAATTACATGTCTTAAAATTGAACATGGAAGATGACACCAAGATATCTTACTTCATAGAAATAGAGTATCTCGGTGTAATGATAGACAATCATTTAAAATGGAACTTACACATTGGGAAGTTAGTGCAAAAAATTAGAAGCCTATTGTCTAAATTCAAATATATATGTAACATTCTTGAAAAAAAACATCTCTCAATGCTGTATTGCGCATTAGTGGAATCCCAACTGAGATATAGCCTAATAGCTTGGGGAGGGGCATATAATAACATTATAAAGAATGTTGAAATAATTCAAAAATGGATTTTGAAAATAATATTCAGAAAACCAATTACCTACACATCAGATGACCTTTACAAGCTTGGCAATATCTTAGATGTAAAACAAATATTTCATTTGACACTTGCCGTTGGACCAGAAAAAAAACCGGAGCAAAATATTTCTAGATTATTCCTACTCCACCAGGTCAAAAAAATTCACCATTTCAGTTCCACATGTGACTAAAACTATATCTCAGAGATCTAGCATGTTTCTTGGGCCAAAGATATATAACGATCTACCGAATGAATTGAAACAACTAAACTCTTGGGAAAAAATTACATTGTTTACACTTTTCTTGAGCCATTTTTGTTTTTTTTTTGTTTCGACTTTGGTCTACTGCTCTTTTTATAATTAAGCTATATCTAAAACGTATAGAGTACAAATAACATCACAAAATAGGTTGAATACAGAGGAAAGATTTATCTGCACAAATACATGTTGTATCGTAGCAAGACGCACTAGTTTCAGGGTGACCCTTATACATAATGCGCAATAGGGTTATAAAAGACCCATTGTATTGGAATGTATAACATATATTAAACAATTCAATTCAAACACATACAATGCATATGGGTACTAAAAGGAGATATTACACTTTGAAGAAACAATACCAGGGAAGATCAAAATATTGAAGATGCCATGCCATACCATACTGTGTCTATATATTAAAAACTGTCCTCATAGAACACTTATAAACTATAATAGGGTATACCATAATAGGATCTTTTACTGATTTTCGAAATTCACAGTGATCTTCTAAAATTTCAGTATGGAAGGGTAAATGATTGAGTATCTTAAGACCATGATAATCTGTTTAAAAAATATGTTTTTCCGTTAACCAGCTGTCGCACCCCTACGATCGACAACCCTCAGAAGTCGAAACTTGTGCGAACTAAGGATTAACGAGGTCTTACCTTTTAACGTGTGATTCTTGGGTGTTCTTTTTTTTATTGGAATCCGAACTGGCTTTTTTTTTAAATTGTCAATCTTATTTCAACCAGTTTCTCTATCAGCTTGCCTAGAGTCGGAATGAGACATATAGGACGGAAGTTTGAAGGATCACTGAGATCACCACCTTTGTGCAGTGGGATAACTATACATTTTTTAGACAGCAAGGGAATGTACCGGTCTTAAAGGATGAGTTTATTGCCAACGCTATAGCATTCAATGATGTATCAGGAAGGTTATCAAAAATTTTAATTGAAATTTCGTTTATTCCAGCCACCTTCCAATTTTTTAAAGAGTCCTACATTTCTCCAAGGTCATTTGCATCAGTAAAGTGTTCAATGAAGTTATCAGCGATTTGTCTGCGTTATTGGTGTATCAACTTGTTTTTTTCTTTGTTTACCCCTAAAATCATTAATCATGGACCACATTTCTTTTGATGTATTGCTCGTTTGCAAAATTCCGGTTTGATAGTGAATTTTTTTTTCTGAACATTCAATTACTTTTCGTATTTCTCAACATAGTTGTGAATAGGCATTAGTATTATGATATATAGGTAGATGGACAGATTTATTTGAGAAGTTTACGGCATGTCATACATAGAAGATAGTCATAGAGTTAGCACAAGTGCTACAACTCAGTAGCACTTGTGCTAACTGAGTTGAACTTCGTTCGCCTTTTGTTATATCAGCAACTAGCTCTGTAATTTATCTAAATATAATATAAAATATAACATAACTTACACAATAAAATATCTTCATCAATATGAATATACAAGTAAGAATTCATGGATTCTATGAAAACAATGGTGTAAAAGTATTTCTCTACTAGCTCTATTGAATTCATTATTATTCAGTGAACGCATCTCTGTGTTTGAACACAGTCATGTATTGTTTCTAGAAATGATTCCTCGTATTTTATATCGTTATATTCTCAAACCATCGAACTTGATTTACCTTAGTAATTTATGTAATCAGTCACTTTCATTTGAATAAAAATGTTCACCTTGGGATGTCAGATATTGCGATCAAGTGAGTCAACTGACGATAGTTAATATGCTATTGTACTCACCACTAGAAGTTAGAAAACAGATAAACAGAACTATAACTATTATACTGAGACCAGTGAGACCAACAATTAGCCCTTTTTCTAACTTGGTCCGGTTTGCAAAATACCGCCCCCAACTCATTTTGCACCACTGTTTCACCATAGCGTTTCGAGTGGATATTCTTCGAAATGTCAAATGAATAACCGCACCAAAGTTTCGAAGATTCAAAAAGCCCGTCTTCAGCCTTGATAGTTGGCTCCCATTGTAATTACTTCATATCTGATGTACGTGATGAAACACACCTGATGACTCGTCCGACACACTTTGAACTGATAACACCTCCACATTCACACCGTTTGACCAGATGATTCAAAAATATAATTTAAACTCTTTCATCTCCTTAAAATCTTAATAGGCACAATTATTGTGACTCTCATCTCCGTTCAAGACCTCGACTGGCAATTACATCATTGCCTAGATGTATAATAATTATTAATCTAATTAGAAATAATCAAGCACACGTAATGCAGCTTGAGAATGAAACCTTATACACGGGGAAGCGTTAGTGAGTTCTACATGGTGTTCTGAAATTGTCCTGAATCCGATGTTCAAATGATACATTATCATGAAAAGAAAGAAAATGGGAAAACTTTTTGAAAAATTAACTGGTTCAGTGATCCAATATTCCTTTTCATAAAGGCTTAGTTGGGTAACACGAACCATTTTTACAATTGTTTTCCTGTCAACGTTTCGAATTTATTTGCATTCTTCGTCAGGGGTCGAAAAAAAGTCTTTGTGTGGCGTTTTAGTGTTTTTCATTTCTACTATGTATCTAATATGTCTAATATTTTAAAATAGTTATATTTTCAACAGGGAGAAACTCCTTTATGAGCTCTGAAAAAGACTTTAAATAAATTCGAAACGTTAGCAAGAGAAAAGAATGTTTTTAACAGGCTTTTTTAGCTTCACCGGTATGTATGTATGTTAGTATGTTTGTGTGGCGAAAGGACTGCACCTTGCGGGACTCCTGCCACCAGTAGTCGAACTGTTGATAATTCGTCTCCTACTCTGCATCGGCATCGCCTGTCAGCTAGAAAAGACTGGATTAGTCTTACCATTGGTTTGGAGTATCCGAAATCGCTCATCTTGGCTAGTAGCCCGTCGTGCCAAACTCTGTCGAACGCCTTGGAGACGTCTAGGAAGATAGCTCCGGTGTTGTGTCCTTTGCCAAGGTTGAAGCCTTCTGTCGCAAATTCCACTACCCTCAGGACTTGTAGCTCTGTTGAGTGCTCTGATCTAAAACCGAATTGTTCGTTGGGGAGGATCCCTAACTCTCTGGTTTGTTCTTCCAGTCTCTTCAGGATGACGCGTTCCGCCACTTTGCTTATGGATGGCAGTAAGCTTATTGGCCGGTGGTTCGCTGGAAACAGGTGGTTCTTCTTGGNAAATATAATAATAACTTGTCCTAGGGTGTATATTGGTCCATCTGTCAGAAAATTTAGGAAATCGCATCCAGGAACATCATATGAGATATGTGAATAAGAAAACATATTCAGCATGTCCAAATCATCTTTTACATGAAAACCGTATCTTCAACAATGGATATTTAAAAATTTTACACATAGAAAATGAAGGTTTAAAAACATGGAATTATTGATGTAGAATTTGATATGTTCTAGGTAATCATAATTTGAGGATGTGCCCTGGATATATAAAAGTCGAGTAGATGTTCTAGGTAATTATGATCGAAGAAATACCTGAGTAGGTAGTGTAGGTAATTACGTGGGGTATATACAAATTAGAGTTAAGAATTGACTTTCAGTATGTTATTCACTATGAAAAAGCTGGTGTGCTAGCTGTGATATTTTATGAAATAAAATTTATGAAGATCAAATCGTTAGGTGTAGTTTGTAAAATTACTATGAATTTTCTTCAAGTAACGGCTGAGTCAATCAGAAAATTCGCTCGAGGATTCTATAGATCCTTTCAAAGGAAAGCACTTGATTATCGGTAACAACCACCTAGTAATATGTGAAGTTTTTCTTTACTTTAACTGAACTCGGGGTCCTCTTAGAGATGGTGTTACCAGAATTCTGAAAAATTTTTGTAACCAAAATGATTGTTTAACTGTGGTGATCCTTATTACTTTCAAATAAAACGAAATATTTCAAGACTGAGGTTTTAATGAATAATTTAGCACTTTCAGTAGTTTTTGGTGAGTGAAGAATATTACTGATTCTTTATGGATTTCCTTTCTGAGCATGTGGAATATTGAAATTGTTTTTTATGTTGACTGAGCGGATTTTTGCTGACTAAATATCTTTCTCCACTCTCTGTCAGGACTCCCTAGTTCTCTGGGTATATGAAACTGGGAATTGTTTCAAGTCGAATGATGGTATATTGCAAGCTATCTGACCCCAAATTATTTCGTCACTTAAATTATGGAATTTGTTGAATCATTCCAAGTGACACAACTAGAAATACAAATCAATTCAAAGAACTTCGGTCAGTCGGTAGCCAAGCGGTTCGGCGTGGGTGCTTTGTTCATTCACTCGAATTGACTGCCGTGTTGGTCGGTGGTTCATGATTTGAAAGTGCATATAGATTATAATGACAAGGAGCCACATTGTCTGATGCATAACTGCTCATATCTATTACATCTGAAGAAAAGTCAATGGAAACATTCAATTTGCCACTGAACCTTTCCAAGTTCAGGCGTTAACCTGTCTCAGATGACTTGTTCAAATCACATAATATGATATATACGAAAAATAGAAAGTTTTGTTTTCTGTTTTTTCATTTTTTTTTATTATACTACCATTCGAACAAATTGATCTGATGAAAATTGAAAGTGATTGTGAAACGGGTAAAAAAATCAATATATAATAAATTTATCTTCTAGAGTATTCCATTTATAAATAATCACGTATACGTCATTCATAAATACATATTATAAACTTTTTGAAGGGTTTTTTCCTGCTATGTTGAGCTCAGCTGAAGGTTGTTCTAGTGATGACTCATCTGTATTTGAATTTCAAACTTGAAAGTTTCATAAAACAATACATTTTTCCGCGGGATTCATATTAGTGCCTTCATGACAATAAAAATCGTTGGCGAAATATCTGGAATTTCTGTATGACCCTATTATTCTCTGAAAGGGCTGCATGTGCGTTGATTTTTTTGTGTTGTTGACTGGCAAGTTGTCGCACATCGTCAAAGCATAACTTATCCAGAATATTTGAGCGGAGGTAAAATCCAAACCAGGTAGCTGATCTTTGCTGGACGTTTCTACTTTCTTGAAAGCCTCGTAGGAGAGATTAATGGATGAATAGTCTGCAAAATTCTCGTCTGAAGCCCCTTCACAATTTATCTGAAAATTAAAAGTCGAGTGAACAATCTGTGTTGAAAGATAACGAAGCAAGCAATGGACACAGCGATTCATTTAACTCTAAACTAAGAGAGGAAAATAAAATTTAAACCATTGTAGAAGATCCTCAAACGTCAATATTTCTCTATACAGAAGAATGGACTCTCAGCCCAACGTATTCTGAATGATTCCTTCAAAACTCAAAAGTAATTTTACTCCTAATAATAATAATAATCGCCTTTATTTCTCACATAAATAGTACACCTCATATTTGTGACCTTGAGCTAATAAATTTGGAGAAAATACCTTGACTGAAATGTTCTTCCACTCAACCCCTTAAATTCTGCCATAACTTTATCAACCTTATCAAAGTAATAGCATCATTACACATCCTCCCATGAATGAACGTTTCAAGTTATTCTAGAAAAAAGAACAAGAAAAAGAATCAAGAAAAAAAGTTTGGATTGACCAAAAAGATATGCCATTGTGTGTGGAATATAACATCATTCAAATGTTCACCACAGCTTCTCTGGCATAAAGCAGACTGAATTTGACCTTTGGCATGGGTTATATTGGCTCCGAGGACCGCTGTGGTGTGTGGCTCATTTGCATACAGCTGCGACTCTCGAGAACCCCACAAAAAAAGGTTAAAGGGGTCAAAATGCATAAAGATGAGTGGGGGCTTCCACACGAGGAGTGAAAACGGCTCTTCCTAGTTAACGGTCCACACTAGTCATCATGTCAGATTACTATGTGGAGCTATTAGTCAGTGATGTCTACAACCTACCCACTCTTTGGGATAAAAGTCTTGACATGTATAAGGATCGAAATGAAGTCGTAAAAAGTTGGGTGGAAGTCTGCAAGGTGCTCAATGTAGATTTCGCACCATTATCCATCCCTGTTTTTGGTTGATTGGATGTATCCACAACATTCTTGATCGTTGGCTTTTCTGTCGTCAAACTTTGTGTCGACGGTAGAGAAAGCATTTGGCAACAGCTCGCATGCGATCCATTCTACGACTGAGTCCAAAAAGTCAGAAACTGAAAATGGCTTCCTATGTGAATGAGCGGTAGGTAGAGGTGATAAACGCTCCCGTATAGGAGCGAGAGATGTGAAGCTCCCCGTGTGGAAGAGTCCTTGGTGTACCACTGAATCATACATTTACATTATGAATATCAGAGCAAACTATGATTTTACGATGCAAATAAAAAGAGTTTTTGTAATTTTTATATTGTAGGACTAGGTTCGGGTAGGTCCAAAGTGAGTTAGTCTATTCGATCCTCCACCTCAATCCGCAAGGGTTTATTGTGGCTCACACCTATTCACACTCGACCAAATAAACCCAGCTCCTCAACGAAGCCGATGAGTTTGTATGGTGAGTGGTCTTTCAGGTCAGATGGTAAGAGAACGGCTATGCCGAACTGTAAAAACCTGATTGGGTCCCCAGCGGGGCAGGCACAAAGTATGTGCTGTGCTGTTTGATCATTTTCCAAATAAAGGCCACATACACTATCTTTCGACAGTCCGAGTCTCTGCATATGATGATTCAAATGAAAGTGACCTGTAAGGAGGTCTGTAAGACATCGTAGTTCATCCCTACTGTAGTCCAACAACTGTTTGGTATCAAGCTTTGAAGGGTGAATAAATGCTTTGGAATGAGCCAATCCTGGAAGATTCTGTCAGAAGTCCATAAATCTTCTTGCCATCCAGGTGTTCAATATTTGTTTGGCAAAACCTAAAGCGACAGGTTCTGGTCCGATGAAGCTGCTTGCAGCACCCTCCTTTGCAAGGGAGTCAGCAGCCTCATTGCCTTCCAGACCAGTATGGTCAGGAATCCAGAGATAATCTTTTAAGTCTTCCTATTGAGAAGAGTCGTTTTTGGCAATTTGCTACCAATTTAGACGTTGGCGTGGCTCGATAAGAGCCAAGAGCTTCCAACGCCACTTGACTGGCCTAGAATATTTTTAATGACTTGCGTGTGAGGTTGGATTCTTCCAATCTCTCCGCACACAAGTCAATAGCGTAAATTTCCTCTTGAAATACAGTCGCATAGGTTCCTAGACAGGTTGATATCTCTGTAGAACTAACAAGCAGCATGAAAAAGTCTCCTCTTTTCCATATTCAACTATCCAGCGGTAATCAGTTCATTTTAAATTCTTTAGCGTCTACGAAAACATTTTATATGTCTAAGGCAAGAGTTTTGAACTTTGTCATGCGTAAATATCCTATTGATAGGTACTCACTTCAGTTATATTATTGCTGAATTCATTACAGTCATCTAGAAGACATTCGGTAGCTTTGAAGAATGCATCGATAGTGGAATTTGACCATACTATATACTCTTTTCCACCGATATATCTCAGGATATCCAGTATTCCAAAGGCATGAACTAACTCATGAGCGATTATCGTTCCAAGCGCTCCGTAATTTGAAGAAACTGGTCTTTCGTTGGAATAGAATATTCCATTCAGAATTGCGGCCGGTAAAACTGAAAAAGTAAATAATCATGTCACATCAGAATCTTCATTCGAAATCCATTTTCTCTTCAAACGAAAATATTTCTCCTCGACATTAAAGTGTTCAAGTAACAGTCCATTGTGAGATATTCACTGAACAGTTTACGAAACCGTAACATGTGTTTTACTACAAAATTTCGAAAAGTAATATTGCGTGTGTAAGCTGAAACTGTGAAAATATCAAATGAACGTGTTGACTTTATGTTGCATAAGCATTTGACTATGACGAAGCTCTTTTCAAAGTGGATGCCACGCAAGTTCACTGTTGATCAAAAAGAAGAACGTCTTGATGATTCTGAGCAGTCTTTGGCCATGTTTGAACATAACAAACCCAAATTTTTGCGTCGATATATGACATCGGATAAGACACGGATCCATCAATTCACTCCGGAATCAAAACGATCGTCATATGAGTGGAGAGCAACTGGTGAATCTCGTCCTAAACGCCTGAAAGCACAATAATCGGATAGAAAGGCCACGATATTTTGGGATATGCGTGGTGTAATATTCATCGACTATCTTGAGAAGGGAAATAACATCAACAGTGAATATTATATAGCGTTATTGGAGCGTTTGAAGACCGACACTGCAAAGAAACGACCGCATATGTTGAAAAAAAATTGTTTCATCAAGGCAACGCAGTGTGTTACAAGTTGTGTCACAAGTCAATCAAAAAATGGCCAAACTACATGACTTGAACTTCAAATTGCTCTCACATCCACCGTATTAGCCAGATTTGGCTCACAGTAGCGGGTTCCAGCATGACCGTGACCTACAAATGATATTAATGAATGTAGTAATGTTAATTTTTTTGTAGTCTTATCGGTTACTGANTTTGAGGTTTGCGAACAGCCAGTAGTCGAGCTCCGTCACGCTGGAACCCGCATTAAAAAAAATTTACTTTTTTTTAGCCTACTTTACCTACAAACGATACTAATAAATGTTGCAATGTTCATTTTTTTGTAGTCTTATCGGTTACTGAGAAAGCACTATTGATTATTCTAACTACGAAGGACGACTAATAATGTGCCTAAAAGTTCTGAAATAGGTTCTAAATGGATTGTAGTTTATTGTAGTAACAACAAAATATTACTATATTTTATATTCTTCAGAACTATAGCAAAAAAGCTACTATAAGAAGATTACAAATCATAAAATAACAATTGTTCTCAAACTACAAACGATGAAGTTCAGAAATACAGAAATACATTTTCAAAACATAAGAGAAACATTGAATATTTGAGTCAAAACAAAAAATATATGTAATACAGTTTCAAATAATGCATTTGAAATAAATCACAAACATATTTGAAATGTACACTAAACTGGTGAACTTGATTCGTAGCGACTTTTAGCGACTTTTCAAAGATGTGCTGTACTTAGAGAACAATCAGAAAGGCTACTAGGCTACTAGGCTGAATACTCAACTAGTTGTTCTTTTTCAACCAAACATTGATTATTTGAAACCCTCATGTTAAGCCAGCAGAACCACTTTGAATATAGACAAAATCAGTCTAAATTCTGACTAAAATTATAACCTGTGAATGAATATAAAAATTCAAGGTAGTTCTGCTAGCTTAACAAAAGTGATGTATGATTGGTCGTTGATATTCTACATCGCAAAATCATACCCAAAAACATCAATTTTTCATGAATTCTCTCTCTTATTGAAATTATTATTTCAAGGACCTATACATTTGAACTTTTTATGTGTGCTTTCAGACGAATATTCGATAAAAACTCCTTTGATTTGTTCAGCACCAGCAATATTAGTATGAATTGATCTAGAAAATCAAACGCTTAAAAATACACAAACTCACATATCGTATTTTTTTCCGGTATATATTTTGTAGCTTGGATATTGCCAATGCCTTGATAGAAACGTGCATCCACATAATTAACTTTCTTCTTCAGAAAATTCAAATTATACTCGTCTCGACTCTTGTCAACTGCTCTCACTATGTCCAATGTGTTATTCAAGAGAAGAATATCAATCTGAAAAAAGATGGATAAAAATAATAAAATTTTTTCACTAAATATTATTTTTAGCTTTCTGTACGACCTAAATGTCGAAATAAAATAGAAAATTATTTCATTTAAAATGTCTAATGAAATTGAACCTCAACAAATAGTTCACTCACTCCAATAATCGAAACCATGAGAGGGTTTAACCAGGTTCTTAGTCGGTACTGACACTTTGAATACAGCGAATAACGATATAACAAAAAATTATTCATTTGGGAGCCCTCTATGGAATGGTTCATACTTGAACGAAATCTTGAAAATTTCCGAATATATCCTTGAAAATGATCGGCCAGGATTTCATTCGGTTAGGTTAGATCCAAAGTGAGTGGGTCTATTCGACCCTCCACCACAACCCGCAAGGGTTTTTTCTGGCTCACACTTATTCACACTCGACTAAATAAACCCAGTTCCATAACGAAACCCATTAGTTTGTATGGTGAGAGGTCTTTCATGTCAGATGGTAAGAGTACGGTTCTACCGAACTCTAAAAACATGATTCGGTCCCCAGCGGGGCAGGCATAAAGTATGTGCTCTGCTGTTTCATCATTTTCCAAATAGAAGCGACACTCAGTGTCTTCCGATAGTCCGAGTCTCTGCATATGATTATTAAAATGACAGTGCCCTGTAAGAAGGCCTGTTAGACATCGTAGTTCATCCCTACTCTAGTCCAACAACTGTTTGGTATCAAGCTTCGAAGGGTGAATAAAGGCCTTGGAGTGAGCCAATTCTGGAAGATTCTGCCATAAGTACATACATGTTCTTGCTTTCCAGGTGTTCAATCTTTGTTTGGCAAAGCCTAAAGAGATGCCAAAAACAGGTTCTGGTCCAATGAGGCTACTTGCAGCACCCTTCTTTTGCAAGGGAGTCAGCGGCCTAATTGCCTTCCAGGCCAGTATAGCCAGGAATTCAGACCAGAGGCAATCTGTTGAGTCTTCCTATCGAGGAGAGTCGTTTTTGGCAATTTGCTACAAATTTAGACGTTGCTCGATAGGAGCCAAGAGCTTTCAACGCCGCTTGACTGTCCGAGAATATTTTTATTGACTTGTGTATGAGGTTGAATTTTTCCAATCTCTTCGGTGCAGACACTTCGAATAGAGCGAAAAATAATGTACCAAAAGTTGGTTTGGGAGCCGTTCGAAATATAGTTCATACATGAATGAAATTGTCAAAAATATAATTTGAATTGTTATATATTGTCACTTGCGTAGCTTAGTGCAGGATTTCAGTATCTGAATGGTTAGTATATCAATAACTTTCGCTTCATCAATTATTTCATATTCGTTGATTGTCATCGCTAATTTCTCCTGATTATTATTTCCCAAATTGTCAAAATTTGCTTTTTTATGTTCTGTCTTCAGGAAACATACCGAATATGAACCCGGCTGAACATTTTTGAGGATATGAACTATTTTTTTAAATTTCATTCAGATATGGACGACAACTTCCAAATGAATTATCTATTGGCATATTGTTCTCCGGTCAATGCAAAGTGTCTTTACCAAATATTAGCCTGTATGAACATTCAGAAAGATATGAAAGCAATTTTCGAAAATTTTATTCAAGCCTTTTAGACGGCTTCCAAATAAATCACCTCTTGGTATATTGTTCTTCAGTTTATTCGATGGATCTCTAACAAATGTTATCCTGCTCAATTATTTTCAAAGATATAAACCGAATTTTTCAAAAATGTTTTCTAGTATAAACCAATAATTAATTCTACCTCGAAATATACCGTTTCTTGGTATTTAGTTGATGAATTGAGCAAAGTATTGTAGTACAGTTCAATCTCACATTATATATGAATTTAATGAAAAAGATAGTATTTCATTCATTACCGTAGCTTCTGATGTTTTGACTGCTAGATAAAAACGGCCGCTGAAAAATGGCTGCTAATTTCATACTTGTTCGAATTTATGAGATCAAAATGATTAGAAATTACAAAAAAAGTCAAAGGCAAGCTTTTGTACTTTACCTTGTCTGTACCCAATAGTTCATCAAATTGTTCTTCATCATATGCTTCATCTGGAGCTCCTATGATGACTTCTAAATTTTTCAATTTTGAAATAGCGTACTCCTGATGACTCTGATTCATCCACTTTGTTAATTTGATATGATCGTGCAGAACATTTTTTATGTTTTCAACCATTTTTTCGACTTCCTTCCTCTCACCTGTGTATTGTCTTGCATACACTGCTTCAGATACGTATGAAAATCTGAAAGAAAGATATAAATACGATACTTTTCTATTTTTCTGATAGTAAAATCACTGACTAGTTTCTTAAGAAATCATATTTCTGCATGTAATTCTTACACCGTATTTGTCATTTCATAGCAGTATTCGAATCTCCGAATATTTTTCTGATCCTTCAGATCTCTATCTACTTCAAACGCCTTCCTGATATCACTAGAGAGAAAATTCCAGAGTGATTGAATTATTTTCCACAATATATAGTTCATCTGGACCCTAAAATGAGAATAGTGAGTCTGGTTTTAACAAGTGCGTGAACTTCTCTACCTAATATGTGTTTTGTTAAGAAGAATTTGCAATTTTGGTATGTAAATATTGACATTACTGATTATCTTTGTTTTACTGTCCACAACAACATTCCTCAACAAATATTTCCATGGTATTGCCGGAAATCTGTTTCTCAGCTCAGATATACTACTTTCGGTGGAGTGAGTTGCAGACTCGACAATGATCTGAAAAAGAGCAAAATAGTCAAAATTACATTGAATATATTGTATTTTAAGCACTTTTCTGAATCACCTGATGCAAATCCATTTCAAAATCAATCAAGTCGTTTATTTCTTTCGAATCCACATCATTTTCAGGGAAACTAAGTATGTTCTCCACATTTTCGATCAGCAAGTTATAGTTTCTTCTGAGTTCAGATGAAAGATAAACTGTGTTGTCAGGGGGTTTTATCTGAAAAAAAAGTACATGTTTCGTAAAACTGATTAATCAAAGTAGATGTGATCTGACGAAAATCTGTACTGATCTTTCATTAGATTAAAAGTTTGATTTCCAAAAAATCATGAAAACTCACTTCCAATGTATCAAACGTTCCGTTAAATGTGGGTTCATTGTGAATATTCAAGAACCAATCGTAATAAAGGCCGAGCTCGATACATTTATCGACTATCTGTCCCCAGTTATAAGAGGCATTCCAATGCTTCGCTAATAATGGCCATCCTCCCAATTCGTTCAATATTGTTTTCAAACTTTCATTGTCATCTTCTTCTATTCCCGTTTGGTCCATGCAAGCTGTATAATATTTCTTCTGTAATTTGACTGACCTTGAATCATCTTTATTGACTCTGCTCGTAATTAGAGACTTCAAACTTTCATTAACACGATTCTGGGCTTCTTCTAAAGTTGACTGTTCCTCAAATCTTCCACAAGAGAAATTATAGAAGTTATCACAGGGGTCGCTTTTGTTGTTGATTGTATCAGCGAGAAATACTGAAGCCGTAACACATTCCTCGGTAATGCAGCTTTTATCTGGAATGAAATATTTAATCAACATTTTGCTTTTGATATTTTTCTAAAGAAATAGTTTTCTATATAAGGAATCGTAACATCAAACCTTATTGAAACTGGATGGAGTATTGATAGATAATCATTCTATAAAGTTTATCACTTTCTTTTCTATCATGAAAATTGTTTCAAAAGTGAAAATTAGTCTTTTGTTTACAAACATTTACATATTGGGAATTGAATTAGGATAGTTATTTTTCAAGTGAGAACCGACTGTTCATCGGTCTGTTTAAAAAATGAGGTAAATGTTATAATTTCACGGCCTACGTAAATCGATTAGCGTTTTTTTTATTGAATTGATGACAATTAACCGAACTTGTTTTTTAAAATAAAGGGGATATCTGTCAAAAATAAGCATAACGTTAACTTTATCCTAGTTGCATAAAATTTGGCATATGGATATAAAATTGCCGTAGACACAACTTTTTCAAGTAACTTTTTGTTAAATTCGATCTAGAAATGCACTTTTTCAATTTTTTTCAAAAAAAAAGTTGAATTTGACAAACACTGAATGTCAGTGGGTCGCAGTTGGCTGCAATATTTTAAGTTAAATTTAAAGCACAAACAAGTGCCGAAGTTAAACTTCATTGAAACTTTTCCCATATGGTGCGCACTTAAATGGTGACACTGTATACAATTTGTTTTGAACTAATTTAAAAAAAATTCAAAAGTAACATGGAGAAATCTTGCAGATTGGGGTGTTACTACAAAATCATCCTCGCAAACCAATAGCCTGCCAATTGAACTACGTAGACCTGAAGAAATCAATGACTATTTTTTAAACGTGGCTGGACATTCAATAGTAAATGATAACACTCTTTCATTCTACAATAATAATAAATTGAACGCTCCTATGAACTTTTCCCTTACCGATATATGTGATAATGATATTTTGACTGCTATCAAAAAAATAAAATCTAATGCTTTGGGTATTGACAATATAAATATCAAGATGATTTCTTCAGTGATACCACACTGTATTGATGAAGTTAAACATATTTTCAACGAGTCCTTCAGAAAGGGTATTTTTCCAGATATTTGGAAGGTTGCTAATATAATTCCAATCCCAAAAAAACACCTACCATGTTCGGTGACTTACGCCCTATCAGCATTCTGTCCTCATTCTCTAAAATATTCGAGAAAAATGTTTCCCGTCAAGTAAGAGCTTTTCTTGAAGAAAATCGAATACTTCCGTACAATCAGTCTGGGCATACGGTGATTGTACTATGAGTCAGAGTACAATCACCCAGGACTTCAACAAACGGGGAAAATGTTGAGAAAGTAAAGACAATTGTTATAGAGAATCATCGAATCACTATTGGAGGAGTTGCTAAGGATGTCGGTATATCGGTTGACTCATGCCATGCAATTTTTTCGGAAACTTTGGGCATAAAGCGTGTGTCAGCGAAATTCGTTTCAAAATTGAAGAATTTTATCCAAAAAAAAACCTTTGCATGAGTCTCGCTCCGAAATTGTTGAATGACGTCAACGGCGATCCAGGTTTGCTTTAAAAAGCCATAACTGGTGACGACAAATGGGTATATTATTGCCACATGGCCGTACGGTCAATGAGGAGTATTATTCTGAAGTTATGCGCCGCTTTCTTTAAACAATACGAAGAAAACTTCCGGTATTGTGAAAAAACAATAATGGACCCGCCCACTCGTCATCGCTTATTCGTGATTTTTAGTCAAACACAACATTGTAATCTTTTGCCTGAGCCACCAGGTTCTCCAGATTTGGCCCCCTCCTATTTTTTCATTTTCCAAAATTGAAGAGATTCGTGAAAGGATAGCGTTTTTCGACTATTGAAGAAGTAAAAACCAAAAAGTGCATAAAAAACTGCTGCTTTTTTTCCAATGTACCAACATTCCAATAATCAGTAATATCAACTCACAATGCTTCTGTTTTACACCCAGTGTAAGTATACGCACTCACTGAATAATATTTATTTTTTCAATCCTCTCACTTGTTCTTCCTAATTAGTATTTTGTTGTTCTCCTACTGAATGAAGTTTCCCAAATATTTATTCGTACTTAATCATTGCGTTTACATAAAATACACGGTGTTTAGACTACTCTTGAGTTGTTTATCCAATTATACTGAACATGTGCTGAGCTGAAGAATTTAGCATTGAAAGAGTTATTTTCCTTGATATATAAGTGGGTTCTTGAATATATTATTACATTACTTTTATATAGTTTGGAAAATATTTGTTTTCAGCTCTGGTTAAAATCTAACTTGTCAATTAACTTGGAACTTACCTGTTGTCCGCGAAATCCTTTGAGAACACTTCAGTTTTTGGGTTTCATCAGACAACATGTTTCCACGTATTGAAAGATGATGTTTACAAAGTACTTAAAAGTACTTAGCGTGTTGGAAATATTTTCAACACTAGTGTTAAAAATATTTTAACACGATTTTCCTCGACCAAATAGAAATAAACAAAACCTAATTATTCAATTTTCAAGGAAGTTTTATATGAACAATAGATACAATTAAATTCTGTTACAAATGTATTATATACATAAATTACATTATTATTATTATTATTAATGAACAATAATATGAAAAATAGAATTAGACAACTTCCGATATTAATGCCTTGCGATGTTGAAGAGCCTTGTAATATATTTGAACTACCTGAATTGACAATTTCATGAGCATTAACATTTAATTCCTGAAGTGAAGAGGGCGATGCTGTAACGCTGGAGCTATCTGTTGGGATTACTCTTTAAACAATAGCCTTTTTATAATAGATTGATCGATGTAACACTCAGCTACTCTTGTAGACTTCCATCCTCCGTGCTTCTTAGTATCCGTTATATTTGCTCCTGATTCTGCTAGCAAAGAAGCAGAAGACCTTCTGAAACATTGACCTGTTTATTCCTTTTTTTCCCGGAGGTTCAGAAACTCAGCAATGGTCGAGGGCATTTTCCCAAATTTGTTGATACATAGTACAAATCATAAACATTATAGTTCACTAAAGTTTCAGCCAAATCAACTGAACTGTATTCTTATTTTATTTTTTATTCAACAAATGTTGACGTTATTATTCGAACTGACAAAACTTTCTCCATTGATGAATTCATTAAAAAAATTCAGACACTGAATTTCAAGTGAAACTTTCTGAAACATAATTGTGAAAACCTGTCCCAAATCGACTTAAATGTTCCTGAGATTATCGCGCACAAAAAACTTTTTGAAAATCATTGTTTTGCGATCTTCGCGTTAATAAAGACCCTCAGTGAAAGTTTTCCTCAAATCACTTCCGTATATAAAGATTCAATACAATAAATGAAATGATATCATAAATTTGTTACAATTGGTGTCAGAAGTGGGATGACTTTATACTCTAACGGATAGAAGGTCAAACATGTGGTAACTCAAGGAAAGCCACGAGACCTTTTCAAGGTTCCAGTTGATTACGTAATAGCTCACTGCGAGGCAGAGGATCTCCGAATGTCCAAGGGTATCACTGTGGTATTCAACAAGAAATTTGGTCAGCTTCAAACTTCACGAGAACAGAATCCAGATGTCGGGGAAGTGCTACAGTTTAAGAAGGGTCAGAGAAATATTCTCCACTTGGTGACCAAAAAGCATTCTCAAGACAAACCGACCTATGAAGATATCTGGAGGAGTCTTACCAGACTGAGGGACACAATACTAGGCCAGAATCTTCTGGACTTGGCAATCCCGAAATTAACCTCTGGGCTCGACAGGCTGGATTGGAGAATTGTGAGAAGCATGTTGGAAACGATATTCATATCCAGCGGCATCAAGATTTTGGTGTGCGATAACCATCTTCCACGACCGAGCATGAAGACTGTGAAGTGTTACTCCCATCGAACTTCACAGTGCAAATATGGAGAGTCTTGCAGGTATCCACACACGCCAAGGATGACATTTCGGAGCGAAACGTCTTTAAGAAAGGGGGCAATGTACCGAATCTAAACCCACCCCTAACCGATATGCCGGCCGACTCAGCGAACAAACACATGACATCACCGCGAAAGAATGCAACCGCCGGTAAAACTCTAGTCGAGTACGGAACTGATTACAGATTTCTAAAAAGGACCGTTTCATTATATAGGCCCGGCTTCCCTACCCAAGAGGGCAATTCAGAAAGTTAATCGTGTTGTAAATCAGTTTGTGATTAGTGAAATATTGTTGGAAATAAATTTGTTTAAGACAGTTAATTCGTTAATTTATCACAATATCTATCACAAAAATTATCGATAGGCGATTTGTAGGACAATAATGTCCAATTGTTCAACACGTGTCCAATTTCTCGGTAATTGTATAATTTAAAAATGTAGTTTAACGGGTATCTATTTGATTCAATTTTTTAATATTCTTAATGGCAGTTGTATGTCAATTACTCAGAAATTTGGAGTTTTTACGTCACTATAACATTATTTTGGAGCTTCATTACAGCCGCATTCGTCTGGCATTTTTTTTCGTGTTGGGTCATTTTTGTCCGAATAAAATACCTATATACATGTCAGATGTACTCGTATGTAAATCTTTGAAATATCACATAATATAAGTAGTAATTTTTGTCATCTTTTGCAATAATAAAATGTTTCTTCCATCGGCTGAATGATTTTATTATTTCAAATGACTGTGGCGTTAGCAATTGGTCCATCTTGACAATCAATAGACGCACTATATTTATTATATTTCTATATATTTATGTAGACATTTCTGAAATCCGCTCGATCAATTCCATTCAACGTGAACGATACTCATCCGAAACCAAAAATGAAAACAAGGGTATGCCGAGAATAGAATTTGTGAGTTTTTGATATTCTCCACACTAGTATGCCTAAAATTATTGACAGTTGCTCAATAAAATGAAATAAAAATAGAGATTAATAATAACCAAATGAGGAACGTTATTGATTCATTTTCCATGTCTTTGAATGATGTCTTTGAATAGCTCAGTTGTGATATCAGAAGAA